ATTTCGGTTTGCAACAGATAAAAGATTCATGTAAGTGTTCAAATGGTTTAATTTGCCATACTGACTTCAGAAAATGCGTGATTTTCATAAAAAGAACATGAACATGCCAAAATGTCAATTTACAAATCATAGCGTGTGTGTCCACCTCTGGTTGCCATTTACAACATCAAGCAACACATCTTCGTCTCATGGAATGGACCAGGCGTCGCACAACGCTTGTGGGATATCTGTCCATATCTGCGCCGATCCATCTCATCCCACATGTGCTCGATTGGTGGGAGTCAGGGGAGCGAGTCGCCCAGGCGATGACATTCACGTTGTTTTGTTGAAGAGAATCCTGAACAAGTCGAGCAATATGAGGCCAGGCTTTGTCATGTTGAAAGGTAATGCCTGGGCCATGACGCAAAAACGGTAGAACAACAGGGCCGATGATCTCCTCGCGGTTGCGCTGTCCATTGAGATTTCCCTCTACCACTATCAAACGGGTCCTCTGTCTTGCTGTAATCCCACCCCATACCATAACGCTGCCGCCCCCCAACCGATCTTCTTCCATGACACAATGATTGACGTAACGTTCACCTCGACGTCGGTACACTCGAATCCGTCCATCGCTGTAGCTGAGGTGAAAACGAGACTCGTCAGTGAATAGAACTTGTCCCAACTGCATGGCCGTCCAGCGTAGACGCTGTCTGCACCATTGTATACGTGCTTGACGGTGGTTTCCTTTCAAAATGGGACGTCTGGCGGGTCTTCTGGCGACAATCCCTGCACATCTGAGGCGACGACGTACGGTTCGTACTGTTGCTGGCAGGAATCGATTTCGTAGGTGTGTTGTTCGAATCCAGTTGTCTTGCCGATTTTTGGTTACGCATGGTCTGCCACTCCGAGGATGGTCTCTGACTGCATTCGTCTGTTGCCAGCGTTGCCATAAACACCAAACGGTGTTTCTGTGGGCGTTAAATTGTCTTGCAACATCACGTTTACTCGATCCTGCTTCAAGCGTACCAATGGCTCGCAGACGCTCATTTTCGGACAGGCGTGGCATTTTGTAATGTTGAATAATTGCGTAATTTTGTTGTTTTTCTGAGTGGTTGTTGTCAGAACGATGATAAACAATGCATATGGAATCCCGTTAACGCACATGTTTTTATACCCATTCTATGGAAGGGAAATGCATGGGGCTTGCATAAAAGTCAACTGTAGCAGTTGCGTTTTTGTGACTTGATTCCATACATGTACTACAATATTGAAAACCAAACTTTACTTGTTTGAAAAATACACTAAAATATTGGTGTCACGGGAACTTTTGTTGTTGAGTATACTCAGTATAGTCTATATTTATATATTATTCCTGTACAACTTGATTTAGTCACGATGTGGCTGAAATTCTGCCGATGTGACTGTAAATCTTAACTCACTCACTCACCCCATTGTGATCTCCACCTCGATCTTGTCTTCCAAACTCGCTGACAGATTGCTTTGTTTGTTTAACTTAGATGTATTAATGTCTGGATAGCTGGAATATTGGTGATTGCGGCGTTAAACAACAAATAAACGATAAACGATTGTTGTTTAACGCCACAATCAACACTATTCCAGCTATATGACGGCGGTCTGTAAATTATCGAGTCTGGACCAGACTATCCAGTGATTGACATCATGAACATCGACCCACGCAATTGGGATCGATGACATTCATCAACCAAGTCAACGAGTCTGACCACCCGATCCCGTTAGTCGACTCTAACGACAAGCAAAGTAGCCTTTTATGGCAAGCATAGGTTGCTGAAGACCTATTCTAACCCGGATCTTCACGGGTCTATGAAAAGAAGTTGAAAATTCAGTTTTCTATCATTATATGAACAGTCTTATGCTTATCACGCCCCTGTCTGATAGTACCGCGTTCTTTATTGATTGTGCGGTACCTATAAAGTTTGGTGTTATGTGAAAAAATTACCTAGGTCATCAGTCTAAATTACCACAAATCTATGAATTCATTAAAATCATAAATTAGATTAGTTGTCACCTAATTACCGTCAATTATTATCAAAGTACATCAATGTTAACCATTGATTTATTCACAGTAATTTTGTATTTTTACAATTTTCGCTAAAACGTCTTCCGGAATGTCATGCAGACCAGAAAGTTTATACTAAGTTTTGTTTGTCGTTTAACGCCGCACTCCAGCAATATTCCAGCTATATGACCGCGGGCTGTAAATAATCCAGTATGGACAAGACAATCCAGTGATTTACATCATTCGCTCTAGCTGTCCTCAGAGCAGGGGCTATAGATGACGACTTTGATTTTCTTCTTCTTTTTAGCTTTTTGCTAAAATGTCTTCGGTAATATCATGCAGTCCAGAAAGTTATGTTTTGTTTGTTGTTAAACGCCGCACTCAGCAATATTCCAGCCATATGACGGCGGTCTGTAAATAATCCAGTCTGGGCCAGACAGTCATTTAAGATATTTGAATAGCAAAATATATCAAGCCTTAGACAGGAAACGAAGGCTAGGAGGCATTCCCGCTTCTTTGTGTCCTGCTTTTGGATCTTTGGCTGAACTTTCAATGAAAGATCGTCCAAACTTGCCTTTCCCATGCGAAAAAGTTCACCCCCTCTTTCGAATTCTTTATCCTCTGTATTCTGTATCCTCCATGCAACGGAGTCTTTCGTCCAAAAACTTCTGATTTTCTTCGCTTTGGCATTGCCGTCTTCTTCACATAATATCCCGCAGCAGATGACTGCTGCCAAGTCTGCTTAAGACTGATACCATGGAAACAAACTACCGCGAGATATAATGAGATCGACACTCAATCGGCAGATCGAATCGTGTGAGAGGTAGCAAATCGATTAGATGACATTCGTTACATCCACCGAACATGTACGCTGTATGGAAATCGGCAGGTCGTGACGGCGTGCCGACTCTTGTGTGTGGCGCTTAAGAACAGCCTTCACATTTACACCGTGTGTGTGTGTGTGTGTGTGTGTGTGTGTGTGTGTGTGTGTGTGTGTGTGTGAGGCAGTGTTCGAAATACCTGCTTGCCCGACCGTCCGAGACGGGTTGATTTCAACTCGGGCTGCCAGATTTTCAAATCCCCCTGCCCGACGGTCGGGTTATATTTCATATGTGAAAATATTCTAAATATTTTCCGATGATAAGCATTAATTCACATGTAAAGATGAATTATAAAATGTAACCAAAAAGAAACCCCGTTAGCTTATCCTGAGAAACATATGATTATAGTGGGCAGGCAGGTTTTGGTCAGGGCTGGCAAGTATTACAGCTAGCCAGTCCTGTGGTCTGGCTGAAATTTTTGGGAGTTTCATACCCTGGTGTGTGTGTGTGTGTGTGGACGCTAGAGGACTTTCAGTTCTACATTGGAAAATCGTTTGAAGGAACACCCCAAACACATGCTAAATTATATACAGTGAACGCAATGTGACAATTAACATTTTTTCTTTTTTTTAAAGCGTTCAAAACAACAAGTAAATCAACATTTTGGGACGCCGTTTTAACCCCGATGAATAATTTGCCGCAGAATTATGGCAATTGATTGTCAGTATCGGCTGGTAGTGGGTTGGACTACCAGATTGATCTCTATTCCGATCCGATACTGACTGTGTGTAGGGTCGTTACAGCCAACTCACTCACTCACTCACTCACTCACTCACTCACTCACTCACTCACTCACTCACTCACTCACTCACTCACTCACTCACTCACTCACTCACTCACTCACTCACTCACTCACTCACTCACTCACTCACTCACTCACTCACTCACTCACTCACTCACTCACTCACTCACTCACTCACTCACTCACTCACTCACTCACTCACTCACTCACTCACTCACTCACTCACTCACTCACTCACTCACTCACTCACTCACTCACTCACTCACTCACTCACTCACTCACTCACTCACTCACTCACTCACTCACTCACTCACTCACTCACTCACTCACTCACTCACTCACTCACTCACTCACTCACTCACTCACTCACTCACTCACTCACTCACTCACTCACTCACTCACTCACTCACTCACTCACTCACTCACTCACTCACTCACTCACTCACTCACTCACTCACTCACTCACTCACTCACTCACTCACTCACTCACTCACTCACTCACTCACTCACTCACTCACTCACTCACTCACTCACTCACTCACTCACTCACTCACTCACTCACTCACTCACTCACTCACTCACTCACTCACTCACTCACTCACTCACTCACTCACTCACTCACTCACTCACTCACTCACTCACTCACTCACTCACTCACTCACTCACTCACTCACTCACTCACTCACTCACTCACTCACTCACTCACTCACTCACTCACTCACTCACTCACTCACTCACTCACTCACTCACTCACTCACTCACTCACTCACTCACTCACTCACTCACTCACTCACTCACTCACTCACTCACTCACTCACTCACTCACTCTTAATGGGGCTATGCCAGGCGCTAGCTGTCACTGGTCTTCTGAGTCATATACAATTTCAATGACAATGTTTTTTGAGACACTATTATGTATACCCAACTTTACAAATCACTACGGCTTTCGATGGAGGTCCCGTAAGATGACTGTATCCAAGATTTGACCTAGTGAAATGTACTCTAAGTTACTCTAAGCGCAATTAAAGCCATATGTTTCGTATTTTGATCAAGTTATGGGAAGAAATACGCGGCATGTCAAACAAATGGCTTCATAACGGAAGAAAGTGAAACATATAAAGGCTTCTTTTGGAAAATCGATCATTTTGTTGCAAATTTGAATCTGCGGAAGACAGGTTTGATAGCCGAGCTGATTAGTATTGTTTCGTTTCTTTGCTATTTATAAATTTAGCGCTCATAATTTGACAGGAGTATGCTGTTTAAACCATAATAATGTGCAATATACTAATTATCATAAATGTGTTTTTGTACAGAAGGTTTCTTATATTGTAGTTGGTAATAGAATAACCAGCTATATTTGTTATGTCTTTGACATGCGCTTTTCCCATCTGTCACGGATAATCTCACTAACGGGGATCGCTAACGTCATATCCCCATGCTTCAAACCTATTAGCACAGGTATGGCGGACATGGTGGGTATGACGGGTATGACGGACATGGTGGGTATGACGGGTATGGTGGGTATGGTGGGCATGGCGAGGATTGTGGGTGTGACGGGAATGGTGGGTATGACGGGTATGGTGGGTATGACGGGCATGGTGGACATGGTTGGTATGACGGGTATGGCAGGCATGGTGGGTATGACGGGTATGGTGGGTATGACGGGCATGGTGGACATGGTTGGTATGACGGGTATGGCAGGCATGGTGGGTATGACGGGTATGGTGGGTATGACGGGCATGGTGGACATGGTTGGTATGACGGGTATGGCAGGCATGGTGGGTATGACGGGTATGGTGGGTATGACGGGCATGGTGGACATGGTTGGTATGACGGGTATGGCAGGCATGGTGGGCATGGCGAGGATTGTGGGTGTGACGGGAATGGTGGGTATGACGGGTATGACGGGGATGGTGGGTATGACGGGTATGGTGGGTATGACGGGCATGGTGGACATGGTTGGTATGACGGGTATGGCAGGCATGGTGGGTATGACGGGTATGGTGGGCATGGTGGGTATGGCGGGTATGGCGGGTATGGTGGGCATGGTGGGTATGGCGGGTATGGCGGGTATGGTGGGTATGACGGGTATGACGGGTATGGTTAGTATGACGGGTATGGTAGGTATTGTGGGGTTTTGCGGGTATGGCGGGTATGGCGGGCATGGCGAGTATGACGGGTATGGTGGGTATCGAGGGCATAGTGGGTATGACGGGTATGGTGGGTATGAAGGGTATGGTGGGTATGACTGGAATGGCGGTAATGACGGGCATGGTGGGTATGACGGGCATGGCGGGTTTGACGGGCATGGTGGGTATGGCGGGTATGGTGGGTATGACGGGTATGACGGGTATGACGGGTATGGTTAGAATGACGGGTATGGTAGGTATTGTGGGGTTTTGCGGGTATGGCGGGCATGGCGAGTATGACGGGTATGATGGGTATCGAGGGCATAGTGGGTATGACGGGTATCGTGGGTATCGAGGGCATGGTGGGTATGACGGTCATGACGGGTATGGTGGGTATGACGGGCATGGTGGGTATGATGGGTATGACGGGCATGTCGGGTATGGTGGGTATGACGGGCATGGCGGGTATGACTGGTAGGATGGGTATGACGGGCATGGTGGGTATGGTGGGCATGTCGGGTATGACAGGTATGGTGGGTATGACGGGCATGGCGGGTATGCTGGGCATGGCTGGTATGACGGGTATGGTGGGTATTGTTGGCATGGCGGGTATGATGGGTATGACGGGCATGGTGGGTATCATGGACATGGTGGGTATGACGGGCATGGTGGGTATGACGGGCATGGTTGGTATGACGGGCATGAAGGGTATGACGGGCATTGTTGGTATGACGGGCATGGTGGGTATGACGCGTATGGTGGGTATGACGGGAATAACGGTCATGGCGGGTATGACGGGTATGGCGGCTATTGTGGTTTTGTCGGGTATGTTGGGTATGACGGGCATGGCGGGTATGGTGGGCATGGCGTCTATGGTGGGCATGGCGGGTATGACGGGTATGGTGGGTATGATGGGCATGGTGGGTATTGTGGGTATGGTTGGTATGACGGGCATTGTGGTATGACGGGCATGGAGGGTAGGGTGGGCATGACGGGCACGTTGGGTATGGTGGGTATTGTGGGTATGACTGGCATGGTGGGTATCGTGGGCATGGTGGGTATGACGGGTATAGAGGGTATGACGAGCATGGTGGGTATGACGGGCATGGTGGGTATGACGGGTATGGGGGTCATGGGAGCGAGAAACCAAGGCTCATAATCGGGGCAAATCTGAGATTCGAAACCATGAGCATAGGATCCTGGCATGGTCAAGGCGAATTGCGGACCCTATGGCTGGGCCATCTCCTCTCTGGTACAGCTATGATGTGTTCAGTAGTGCATACGAGTATCCATTAGGAAACTGTGTAAGTGACATTGCTGTAACTCCGTCCGCGATGAAGCAAAATTTTAAAACGGGCGGTCGGGTAGCCTAGTGGTTAAAGCGTTCGCTCGTCACGCTGAAGACCCGGGTTCGATTCCCGACATGGGTACAATGTGTGAAGCCTATTTCTGGTGTCCCCAGTCGTGATATTGCTGGAATATTGCTAATAGCGGCTCACTCTATCACTTAAAAGTACGGAAAATGCATAGATCTATATGACAGTTGCTACCACTCGACTGTCACGCAGCTGTTAAACCTAACCCACCCCATCCCAACCCAACCCAACCCACATTTTCCCTACCCACCCAAAACACTCCAACTCACTCGATATATTACCATCCCATGACCACCGCATCTCACATTTCATCCATTCGACCCGTGAAGATCCGGGGTAGAATAGGTCTTCAGCAACCCATGCTTGCCGTAAGAGGCGACTAACGGGATCGGGTGGTCAGGCTCGCTGACTTGGTTGATGCATGTCATCGATCCCAAATGCGTGGATCGATGTTCATGATGTCAATCACTGAATTGTCTGGCCCAGAGTCGATTATTTACAGACCAACGTGATATAGCTGGAATATTGCTGAGTGCGGCGTAAAAAAAACAACAACCCCAAAACAAACAAAAAAACCAACCAATCATTTTATCCAATAAACCCAGGAAACAACGGAACACGCAAATAGCCTGTTATTCAATAATTTGATGAGGAGACCGTTCTCGATGGACAGTATTTGAATATAAAAATGAATGACATTTTAATTTCATATTACCTCGCTATACGCTCTCGCGATCGCCGGCCCCCCCTGAACGTCTCTCTGGAAGATTGTCGAGGCATTAAAGTAGACTGATGCTCGTCATAGATGAAGAAAAACACGCATCTGAGGGCGACATTGTTGCTTTGAGGAGCGAGACCAAAATATGTGTTCATGCCGAAGTAGTTACAAGAGAGGATGATCATTTTCTGTCTGTAAATGGGATATTCTCTGCAATCAGAGACACCATCTTATTAAAACGAACTTCCCCAGATCAAGTAGCCTTGGTAAAGAATGTTTTCAAAAATCAAATTTTGTTTCAAGCAGGCATCTTCTGTAAACCGGCCTTCATAGTCTGAGGAGTGAGTGAGTGAGAATGGATTTACGCCGCTTTAAGCAATATTCCAGCAATACCACGACAGGAGACACAGGAAATAGGTGTCACACATTGTTTGTTTGTTGTGCAACGCCGTACTCAGCAATATTACAGCTATAAATAATCGAGACTGGACCAGACAAACCAGTGATTGACATCATGATACAATGACTTGCATCAACCAAGTCAGCGAGCCTGACCACCCGATCCCGTTAGTCGCCTGTTACGGCAAGCATGGGTTGCTAAAGACCTATTCTACCCCGGATCTTCACGGGTTACACACATTGTACCCATGTCGGGGATCGAATCCGGGTCTTCGGCGTGACGCTCCCCCCCCCCCCCCCCCCCCCCACACACACACACACATCCCACCTCTCAGTTGATTTGTTTGATTTTCAATTGAAAATATCTTAAGTTAGAGATATTAATTATAAAATAAGCTGTACTGGTGGTGAACAGTATTGACCACCCCCCCCCCCCAAAAAAAAAAAACCAACAAAACCAAACAAACACAAAAAAACAAACCAAAACAAAAAACCCACCAAAACACAACAACAAAATACAAAAGCAAAACAAAACAAAACAAATCAACACAAAACAAAACAAAACAAAACATAACAAAACCAAAAAACAAACAACACTTCTACATGTTATTTTTTCAAATATAATTTGTTTTTAAACTTATAAAAATTGGAATAAAAAAACTGCATTATACACAACTGTTGGTGAGTATCTTAGACATCTTATCTGTGTTGCAGGAATGAGTGATACTTAAATTGACATATTCAAATTTAACTTTTCTTCAATTTTCAATTACATAAAAAAACAAACTCGATAATTATACTTTCTGAGTACCATTTACTCCCACCTGAATCCAGAATACTACTGGTAATGCAGGATAAATTGAACCAACTCATAAAACGCGTTTGAGACAAAAAGGCGGTGCACAGAATTTGGACCAACATATTTTGTTTATTGCAGGGAGAGATGGTGTACACATGTTGTACACGTGCAGGTCATGACGATGGCATTGACAACGCTCCCGTAGACACACGTTTTGCTTATAAGACTATTAAGAGATCGGTGTGATAAGTCGATACCAGAATTCTCTAAAAGTCGGTTGATGTATATTAATTAAGAACAAAAAAACATGTCACAGCTAAGTGAGCACGTTCAAATCATACATTATCGAGTATTCCGATCGAGTGGCCTATAATGTCATAAATTTCACGGAGAAAGAATGTACAAATAGTGAGTGAGTAAGGTTTTACGCCGCTTTTAGCAATATTCCAGCAATATCACGGCGGGGGACACCAGAAATGGGCTTCACACATTGTACCCATGTCGGGAATCGAACCCGGGTCTTCTGCGTGACGAGCCAACGCTTTAACCACTAGGCTACAAATAATGAATGTACAAATAAATCTCAAGCATTGTCAAAAGGTTAAATATAGCATCCACTGGGGTGTCCGCATCAACGCAAAAGCGCATCAGAGCCGAAGGTATCCCTCGTGACAAAGGCGAGAGTAGTTTCATTAGCCCAACTAAGTCGCGAAATCGTCTTGTTATCAAATCGCAAATCGACGATTTTGACCAGTGCGCTTTTCGCAAGTTTGTACACAAAGGGTATGTAGTGCGAAAAAAGGTGCCAACTCAAGACACTATCAATGACATGATCAAAACTGTTTTGAATTATGAGGGTTCTGGAGAAAGCAAAATTAACGGTAATCTCTAAAACATATTGGATTTAGTCAAATCACAAGGTGTTAATGTAACGGAAAGATATGGTTGCAAAGCGCATGCAGTACTGAGCATTCAATAAAAACTACCGAGATGAGAACGGCCAATCATCTTTATTGATGAAACGTGGTGCGGCATATGCACCACATTGTCCCAAGATATTGGCAGTTGTAGGGTGATATGGCCATAGGTGGGATTGAACGCCCGTCCGGGGCCGGACCTCGGCTGATCACAGTACATGCAGGGTCCGAGGACGGAGTTGTACCAAATACACTGCTTATATTTGATGCAAAACTCAAAACAGGTGATAATCATGACGAGATGAACTTTGATAATTTCTCCATATGGTTACAGGACAAACATTCCACTTAACATTCCGACCCGCGAAGATCCGGGGTAGAATAGGTCTTCAGCAACCCATGCTTGCCGTAAAAGGTGACTAACGGGATCGTGTGGTCAGGCTCGCTGACTTGATTGATGCATGTCATCGATCCCAGATTTGCTGTTCACAAATCATCGTTGTTGTGTGTTTAACGCCGCACTCAACAATATTCAAGCTATAATTATGACGGCGGTCTGTGACCCGTGAAGAATAGGCCGGGGTAGAATAGGTCTTCAGCAACCCATGCTTGCCGTGAAATGCGACCATGCTTGTCGGAAGAGGCGACTAACGGGATCGGCGGTCTGTAAATAATCCGAGTCTGGACCAGACTATCCAGTGATTGACATCATGAGCATCGATCTACGCAATTGGGATACGATGACTTGCATCAATCAAGTCAGCGAGTCTGACCACCCGATCCCGCTAGTCGCCTCTTACGACAATCATAGTCGCATTTCACGGCAAGCATGTGTTGCTGAAGACCTATTCTAACCCGGGATCTTCACACAAAAACACCGAGTCGAGCTGCATGTGAAGAACGAATGTTTGCAATCGGAACAGTCGGACTGTTGTAAGCATGTCCTATGTGTTGAATATGGCTACTGTTAACGGTAAATAGCGGCTGAAAGAGAAATGGACAGCATCATTGTCGAGCTTGGTCTGACGAGTGGATCAGATACAGAAACCGCATCAAAATGTGAAGATGTGATTATCCAGGTATCTCAATATGGACGATGTAGGTGAAACTGTACATTCTTGAAGCTATTAATAGTTATTATTTCACATATTGTATATCATTTAAAAAAATGATATAGATGCGTTAAACCACACTTATTCATTACTCCAAAAACCTAATCTCCTGAACGATTGCAATTGAAGACTACATTACGGAGACAATGTTGAACCGGAGACTCGTAAATCTTCGGATGAACCATAGGAAAACCCCATTAGCGAGCCTCCAGCGCAGATGGGCTGATTCTTATTTGACTGAAGCAATTGTCATGCGATAAAACCAGAACAATCTCGATTGCTGGTTACAAATTAGCTTACAAAGCTCAATTAAGTAGATATTTGCAGTTACAAGGAATATCCCATTGCTCAGTATTCCAAGCACAAAGCAGTTCTGTCGGGCTGGATCTAGGCAACGTGATCACCGCATATCAATCCTCTAAAGTGCAAGACTTGGTTTTTTTGGGGAGGGGATGGGTCTCTGAAATTCATTATTCCCAAAGCAATCTTATTTATTGAAGGAAATTGTGGCTGAGTTTTTGAATGCTGTTTTAGTAATTTAAAAAAATATATGTCACAACGGTGTTTCAGCTTAATGTTGCAAGGAAGCAACTACATACGCTAGGTTGTTAATCCAATGGATATTTGAATGAGTAACACCTCCCCAAATATTGTAGGAGTGTTTCTTTGTTGTTTAACGCCGCACTCGGCAATATTCCAGCTATAAGACGGCGGTCTGTAAATGATCGAGACTGGACCAACCGATCACGTTTGTTGCCTCTTACGACAAGCACCGTCGCATGTTACGGCAAGCATGGGTTGCTGAAGACCGTAACATCTCTAGACCCTGTCTCTTCGACGCCAGACAGGAGATGAGTACCAGAGGGCTTAGGCGACGAAATTGGTTGAGTTATGTCCCTTAACCGTGCAAGGATGCACTGACCGCGGGGGTCGAATACCAGTTTTCCATCGATTATCAACCTTGGATGGTTGTCAGCACCAAACCCGTGCTCGTTGGTGTCATGCGCCAAAATGATAAAACTTATGTACAGCGATCTAAATCACTCGACACACCATGATACAACAAAAATACCATTCAAAAGGTCGTTAAACACATTCACTCTCTATTATGTTTACGGTTTTGCTAAATCACGAATGATCTGTGTCAGATATTGCGTGCAACAATGTTTTTATCTTCTGTCTCGGTATCTTCAAACTAACAAGATACTGTGATTGTGTGATAATGTTTTATTAAATTTTAGAATTGCAAACACCGTTCGTGTAGCTGCGAAATTTATCTTTTTAAAACCTTCACCTTATGGAGTAATACCTGCGTCAGCGGGTGACTTATATATCAGCACTGATGCCTTTTTGTCAAAGGTTTTGTCAAGAAAACAACCATCAGAAACCGGTACCACTATCAGGTGAGCTCTTTAAGATGTTGCCTTGCGCAGAGCACAACATTCGCCATTGTCCAGTCTCCAGGTGAGATGGGTATACCTCCGGCTACTTATACACCGTTGATGACAGATCGTTGGTTAAAGCCATATCAGAATATGACGATTAAAGCCACGACAAAGGAAATCCCCCTGCGCAGCCAATTAATGCTGCGCTCGCGACTGGCTCAGCAACCGAGCACCCTTCCTTAAGATCAATAGTCGTCTGCCTCTCGCACACAACGCCCTCTATCGCCGTCCAGAGATCCTCGCAGGGATGCGAGTGTTGAGAGAAGCGTTAATGGGCAAATGATAAAGCTCTATGGTGAATGGCCGTCTTCTTTAACTATAACATGAACGGTTTAAAAGCTTTTGAGATGATGAAATGACAGATTTCAATAGGACATGACAAGGTAGCCGAAAGACGGAGATACGAACGGAATAATAATCGACATCCGGTATATATGAAGTAAACTTTTGATGACACAGTCGGTTCTCGTGATTGCAGTGTCCGTCAAAGTGTCAAGGTGAGACGTCTTATTTATTTTCGCTGGGATCATAAGGAGTTATAATTAAAAAAAAGAACTTGCAAAGACGCGGGCATTACGCCTACCAGGAAATGACGATTTTTCAGTCATATGTTATGTTATTTGGTGAAGATATGGACGTTCTACGATTCTTGGATACTTAAAGATACAGGGGAACCGTTTGGCCATTCTTAAAAGAAGGTTCAATCAAAATCACGCTCGAGTTCTACAGGAATTAACATGGGTGTTCTCAGGATTTGGGGGCTAATGAAAAACGGCTTCATGTAATCCCCTTTTGATGACTGCGGAATTGTGTATTAATTGAACGACAAATGTTCCTCGGTGTGGATGGTTCCTTTCTCTATATGCAGGAAATGATACACCGTTAACCTCAAGATTCGGTGGAGATAAATATATCGATCAGGCAGTCTTCACAACATCTACTTATACAGATCACCAAGAGGCATCTGGTATTCTGTCCAAACAATGATACAATAACCATATCTACTGCTCGAGGAACAAGAATCCATGCATCTGTAGCGGCAGAGTGAAATAGATTAGGCGCACCGGTTACATTGCACGAGGGACTCAAGATATCCGTGCTGCAATGGCATGACATACATACAGGCTATACCGCACGAGGAGCACGAAGAACAAACACGCTATTGGTCTATTCCATGAGGACGTTGAAATATCCATGTATCTCGTGACGCTGAAATAAACATCTGAAGATTTGCGATGGACACAATATCCTCGTGCAACCCGGTACAGTGTTAAAAAGTGAGCGCATTGCGAGGTAAGTGTTTTCTTCGAAAAACAACAGTTGAGCACATCGGAGATACATTTAGACTGATCAAGGGAGTAGGTAATAAAAGGTGTTTTGTTTGTAATTGTCTGAGTATGTTTGTTGCCAAACAATACAGCTATGTCGTAAAGGCTCAATGTCGGGGCACGGGTGGCCCAGTCGTTTGAGTCGCCGCGATTCGCTGTGCAGAGTTGCATCCCTTGGGCACGCCAGAAACCTATGATTGTGGGTTCGAATCCCGGTTTACCCCGATTATGTTTCTAGGTTTGTCAGCTCCAAACCCGTGCCCGTGGGTTTCATCGAAGTGGTAAATGTCTGAGACCTGCATCACTTCGGGCTTTCCTCCCTCATTAAGCTGACACGCCGCGATACAAAACTGGAATACTGTAAAAGCGGCGTTAAACCCAACTCACTCACTCAATGTCTTGTCTGGCCGTGCACATTTTGATCTCTTAAAAGTGTAACTGTCTGTAACGAGAGATATACAGAACAATATCGTTATTTCTTATCCTGTTTTGCATTTCCGTTAACATTCTGTACCGTAGTCCCTGTTTTATATTCGCGGTGTATGTATGAAGAACTCTTCTTCCATTTCCGACCCGTGAAGATCCGGGATAGAATAAGTCATCAGCAACCAAGGCCTGCCGTAAAAGGCGACTAACGGGATCGGGTGGTGAGTGAGTGAGTTAATATTTAACGTCACATCGGCAGTATTTCAGCCATATCGTGACGGATCGGGTGGTCAGGCTCGCTGACATGGTTGATGCATGTCATCGTATCCCAATTGCATGGATCGATGCTCACGTTGTCAATCACTGGATTGTCTTGTCCAGACTCGATTACTTACAGACCGCCGTCCTGCAGCTGGAATACTGCTGAGTGCGGCGTTACACAACAAACAAACAACTCTGGCTGTATCAACATTTGGTAATTGTAGCTTGGGTCAAATACTTACAGAAGACCATTACCACTGTGACATATTTCGCCATTATCTTGGAAATTCAAGGTACTTAGTTACAAAATCAAGATAAACTGAATTCAGCAAATGAACTTCCCAAGGCACCACTTTTTTGCTTTGAGCTGACTGTTGCAATATAATAACTTGCATTTTCAAGGTAGCATCTTAAATATTCAAGATAAAAATATTAATGTAATGGCCACAATGATATTCCGTAAATACTTGCTTATCTTCATATATTAGGCAAAAAACACACACTAAAACCACGCGACGTGGAGATTACCCTAATCAACATTTTGGACATATTTTAGTCGTTCGTATACGCATATGTTGTTGTCACGAGTCCAAAGTAATGTTGAAATGTTTTTAGTTCTCATTAGGGTGAACGCTTCTGATCGTTTCATTACAACTTCTGACGCGTGAAGATTCCGGGGTAGAACAGGTCTTCAGCAACCCATGCTTGCCGTAAAAGGTGACTGTGCTTGTCGTAAAAGGCGACTAACGGGATCGGGTGGTCTGGCTCGCTGACTTGGTTAGTGCATGTAGCTCCCATACTCTCCACATTGAGACTGGTAGATACGTTACTACTCCCCGAGAGCACAGATTGTGCAATAGTTGCAATCAAAGATATGTCGAGAATGAATATCATTTTTTATTAATTTGTAACGCTTATGATGAACTTCGTCTCAAGTATCTACCACAGAAGTATTTTGTACATCCTACTCTTGCTAAATTCAATATGCTTATGGCGGTAAACAATGAAACTGTTATTAGAAATGTTGTAACTTTTATATACCATGCTATGAATGTCAGACTCCAAACACTAAGCCTATAAATGTTAATGATGGACCAAATATTGTACCATGGGCCGCTGGCCTACACATGTAAATGAATAAAGAATTGAAACCATTGGTACGCACTGACGGATCAAAGAAACGGAATTATATGGTAATTTAACAGTGTGTTGCGTTTCAGCTGTAAACTATGCTATTCATACTAATTTACGACTCTTCTCATGGAATTCATTACGACTCTGTAAAGATCCGGGTTAGAACTGTTTATCAGAAACCCATGCTTGTCGTAAGAGGCGACTAAAGGGATCGGTTGTAAGGCTCGCTGACTTGGTTGACGCATGTTATCGTATCCTAATTGCGTAGATCGATGATTATGATGTCAATCACTGGATAGTCTGGTCAAGACTAGATTATTTATAGACCTCCGTCTTATAGATGAATTATTGCTGTGGCGTTAAACAAAAACCTATTCAAAATAATCCAAGACTTAGCAAAGTAGAACAGGTGCACGGAACTGACGTGTCGTCCTCAGCAACCTATGCTTCACTGTGTCGACTTCATGGGTCGGGCGGTCGATGACTTGATTGATGACGTGTCATACTACCCCGACGGTGACGATCGTAGCCCGTTTTATAAATCACTGGTTTGTCTAGCCCAGACTCGATTATTTACAGGTCGCCACCATATAGCCGGAAATACTGCTGAGTGCGGCGGTGAACAACAAACAAACCACACGTAATAACTGACAAAATTGAAAACTTGAGACAGCTGTATTGTTTGATTGTATCTCAGCGAAGTGTTTAGTTGCTCATTTTATCACCCACTTGGTTCGTTCTGGGCCTGACTGTATTATACTACTCAAAAGAAGTTAAAGCCCACTCGATTCTTTCATATTACTACAGTTAGTCCGCCATGTCAGATTAACTATAGTAATATGAAAGCATCGAGTGTTCTTTAACTTCTTTCGAGTAGTATATATTTTAATATTGTCGGAATAGTGATGCCTGGCGTAAAATAATGTTCAGTTACTCACTCTCACACGTGTTTTACAAAAACAACTAAGGTGAATCATCTCATGCAGCATAGTTTTACCTCAAACCATGAGCTAGTTTGGAAATCGTATTGATTTTTTCCATGCGGCAAACAGCTGCGAGGTTGTAACAGTGGTGTTTGCGTGGCAGCAAAATCTGCTGAGTATGTAGTTTTCTTGGAAAAGTACAAGTCATCACCAGGGTCCGGGGCCAAACAGGTGCCCTGTACCCCAAGGATGGCAGTCAAGTGGGCGCATTTGTTCTTCATTTTTGTCACATAGCCGCATTGAAACGGTGCAGATAGTTGCTCAAACCAACAACCACGGGCTTGTCTGATCCAGACTTGAAGTACGGCTGGAATAATTATAATTGCGGCGTTAAACAACATGCAGCATCGCCAGAGTCATAGTGAATATTACAAATAGGATTATTGGCAAATGACGCCTTGGGAACCATAATCTTTTATAATTTGGGCTCAGTGGACTTCGTTGAATGTTCAGGCACGTGAAGATCCGGGCCAGAATAGGTCTTCAGCAACCGTAAAAAGCGACCCTGCTTGTTGTAAGAGAAGACTGACGGGATCGGATGGTCAGACTCGCTGACTTGGTTGATGCATGTCATCGTATCCCAATTGCGTGGATAGATGCTCGTCACATCAATCACTGGATTGTCTTGTCCAGACTCCATTATTTACAGACAGACGTCATATAGCTGGAATATTACCGACTGCGGCGTTAAACAACAAACAATCTGAAACTAGACACGAAACTTAAGCCCAAAAGAATAATATGATGTGAAAAGGATTTCTGCTATTGATTGAGCTGGTTTGACACGAATGGGATTTTGTCGTGGAATTTCATCGTAGATTATTTATTTATAGCGAATACGAAATGATGAGGATGAAGAAACCCTGGTTACACCACGGTCTTGTCATGCGGTTAATAGTACCTTGTCACTATGGTGATGCCTATTTTTTAATATGAAAAACAAACCTAGTGCATATAATTGTAGTTTTTTAAAAAGAAATCGAACATATTGATAAATTTGGAATTATGTAAATAGCTATATTTTATATTGGTAATGTTTATAGCTATATTTTATATTGGTAATGTTTAATTTGTAACTTAGATTGATATAGTGGCTATATCGTCAAAGGGGGTTGAAGTAGCGTAAAATTATTGTCACCCTGAGAGGATATGTAAGACCACATCATTCAAAGTACATTTATTCTTACCTCGGTTTTAAACGTAGTTTATTTGTTAATTTTAACTGTTGGCTTAATTGCATCCCATCACCAGCAGCTGAAGGGTTGATGTAAATCCTGTTGGGGAGCCGTGCAGGTAGCAGAAGTCCCCGCGGTCCCTCGTGAGGTGGCCTAACTTTGGTTGCTGGTGATCTTTAGCCCATTTTTATATTGTATTGTTAATTGAAAATGTATTCTTTTAACTACGATACTCTAGTTATCTTACCGTCCATCGTTGACAGCTTTTTATTAAATCAAAATATAATGATTATAACTGTTTCGTCACGATATGGCTGAAATATTGCCGATGTGACGTTTAATTTCACTCACTAGATACATGTTGCCAAGAAATACCAGCCTATTTGTTAGACACAGAAGAACTGAGAACGTTACTTGAGTAAGATTATTGACAACAATCGATATGCGAATACGAACAGAATGTCGTCAAAGTTTTACAAAAATTAGCGGATATTCTATCAGCTATAAGAAAATCGTGTTGGTGTATTTATGATTATTGATTTCCATGATGGCATATCGATTAGAGTGGCATTTGTGAGGGGTTTCGGTGATTAGGATTATTGTATTTAGCATTGTCTGTTTTGGTTGTTTGGGAAATCTTATCAGAGATGTTAACAGCATGTAAACACGCACGTAGCCCGTAGCCCGTAGTCACATCTTCTAGCCCTTAAACGTGAGTAGGTACTAACGTGTTCATAAGCAATTACGGGGCACGTCAGAGTGGTAAGGTAGAATAGGTTTTCAGCAACCCATGCTTGCTGTAAAAGGTGACTATGCTTATTGTAAGAGGCGTCTAACGGTATCGGGTGGTCAGACTCGCTGACTTGGTCGATGCATGTCATCGATCCCAATTGCATGGATCGATGCTCATGATATTAATCACTGGATTGTCTGGTCCAGTCTCGATTATTTACAGACCGCCTTCATATAGCTGGAATATTGCTGAGTGCGGCGTTAAACAACAAACCAACCAACCAACCAAATCAGAGTGGGAAGTGTCTGAGACCTGCATCACTTAGGGCTTTCCTTCCTCATTTAGCTGACATGCAATGATGTAACTGCAATACTGTTCAAAGCGGCTTTAAACCCAACTCACTCATAATCAATGACCGAAATGGTAGTAAATTCTTTGGTAGTTTGTTTGTTGTTTAACGCCACACTCAGCTATGTGACGCCGGTCTGTAAATAATCGAGTGTGGACAAGACAATCCAGTGGTTGACATCAAAAGGATCGATCCACGCAATTGAGATATGATGACATGCATCAACCAAGTCAGCGGTCCTGACCACATAATCCCGTTAGTCCGTTACGACAAGCACAGTCGCCTTTCACGGCAAGCATGGGTTGCTGAAGACCTACTCTCTACCCGGAGGTAGTGGCAGTGGTTAGTGTTGGTAGTAGTCAAAGTTGTAATGGTGGAAGTGGTAGTATTGGTAGAAGTTGAAGGAGTAGTGTTTGCGATAGTGGAAGTTGAGCACAAGGCCGACCATGAGTGAAAGCACAAGGCCGACCATGAGTGAAAGCACAAGGCCGACTATCAGTGAAAGCACAAGGCCGACCATCAGTGAAAGTACAAGGCCGACCATCAGTGAAAGCACAAGGCCGACCTTCAGTGAAAGCAAAAGGCCGACCATCAGTGAAAGCACAAGGCCGACCATCAGTGAAAGCACAGGGCCGACCATCAGTGAAAGCACAAGGCCGACCATCAGTGAAAGCACAAGGCCGAACATCAGTGAAAGCACAAGGACGACCATCAGTGAAAGCACAAGGCCGACCTTCAGTGAAAGCACAAGGCCGATCATTAGTGAAAGCACAAGGCCGAGCATCCTTGAAAGCACAAGGCCGACCATCAGTGAAAGCACAAGGCCGACCATCAGGGAAAGCACATGGCCGACCATCAGGGAAAGCACATGGCCGACCATCAGTGAAAGCACAAGGCCGACCATCAGGGAAAGCACATGGCCGACCATCAGGGAAAGCACATGGCCGACCATCAGTGAAAGCACAAGGCCGACCATCAGGGAAAGCACAAGGCCGACCATCAGGGAAAGCACAAGGCCGACCATCAGGGAAAGCACATGGCCGACCATAAGTGAAAGCACAAGGCCGACCATCAGTGAAAGCACATGGCCCACCATCAGTGAAAGCACATGGCCGACCGTCAGTGAAAGCACAAGGCCGACCATCAGTGAAAGCACAGGGCCGACCATCAGTGAAAGCACAAGGCCGACCATCAGTGAAAGCACAAGGCCGACCTTCAGTGAAAGCACAAGGCCGACCATCAGTGAAAGCACAAGGCCGACCATCAGTGAAAGCACAAGACTGATCATCAGGGAAGGCACAAGGCCGACCATCAGGGAAAGCACAAGGCAGACCATCAGGGAAAGCACAAGGCCGACCATCAGGGAAAGCACAAGGCCGACCATCAGTGAAAGCACAAGGCCGACCATCAGTGAAAGCACAAGGCCGACCTTCAGTGAAAGCACAAGGCCGACCATCAGTGAAAGCACAAGGCCGACCATCAGTGAAAGCACAAGGCCGACCATCAGTGAAAGCACAAGGCCGACCATCAGTGAAAGCACAAGGCCGACCTTCAGTCAAAGCACAAGGCCGACCATCAGTGAAAGCACAAGGCCGACCATCAGGGAAAGCACAAGGCCGACCATCAGTGAAAGCACAAGGCCGACCATCAGTGAAAGCACAAGGCCGACCATCAGTGACAGGCTGTCTCTGGTATCCCGCCTGGACACTGCATCACACCTCTCACACGGCAGGCAGGGAGTCTTTGTCTTACATTCTTGGTCGTGCACTTCATCACCTGGACGTCGCTCTTCGCGGAGTTCGCACCAACATGGACACAATGCATCAATTGGTTTGCCCTTAAAGTTCGGGAGACGGCTGGTGTGTGTCATGGTAGATTTTCTCTTCGAAATGTCCTTCTCTATTACCACTGGAATATATCATTTTAGAAATAATTTTGAAGGGGTCGACGGTGGCCCATTCGTCTGAGGCGCCACACTTCTGATGTCAGCACCATACCCGTGCTCTTTGGTTTCACCATAAGTAAAACATCTTAGACAGCGGCGTAAAACCAAACTCACTCACTCACTCACTCGCTATGATTGGTGAATTCGACCATGATATAACCCTTAAAGGAGTAGAATAGTTCCACCCAAAAATCATTCGAGGAGGGGTTGAGGGCGCATCGAAATCATATAGACGCACAGAGAAGCAATACGAACAGACATTGTGTCATTGATCAGAGTGGCAGTTTTACATTTTACAAGAGACTTTGGACCCGTGAAGATTCCGGGGTAGAATAGGTCTCCAGCAACCCACGCTTGCCGTAAAAGGTGACTATGCTTGTCGTAAAAGGCGACTAACGGGATCGGGTTGTCAGGCACGCTGACTTGGTTGATGCATGTAATCGATCCCATGTGCGTGGATCGATGCTCATGATATCAACCACTGGATTGTCTGGTCCAGACTCGATTATTTACAGACCGCCGTCATATAGCTGGAATATTGCTGAGTGAGGCTTTAACAAAAAACCAACCAACCAACCAACCAACCAACCAACAAGAGACTTGGGAATTCACGGGCAGTCTTTGGTATTTCGTGTTTGTCACGAGAGGCCATTTTATCAGGTAATCAGATTCTTGGATGAAAAAGAACGCTGTATGATATGATCCATGTTGTTTTTATTCAACTGTAATTGATTTTGAAAAACTTTGGTTGTCTTTTCATTCCCGTGCAAAACAACGTGAAGGTCTGGAGATCCTTGTCAATCTTAACACCTGGGAGTCTTTTAAATAATGGTTGCACCCCGTGAGAAGTGGAAAGAAATCAGCACTTTTTACATCAACGTCTCAGGCGTGGTGCTCTGTCACCAAGTGACGTTCTGTGTGTTGTGTTGTGTTGTGTTGTGTTGTGTGCGGATTGTTTAAATGAAAGAGACCCGTGAAGACCCGGGTTAGAATAGGTCTTCAGCAACCCATGCTTACCGATAAAGGATCGCTGACTTGGTTGATGCATGTCATAGTATCCCAATTGCGTAGATCGATGCTCATGATGTCAATCACTGGATTGTCTGGTCCAGACTAAATTATTTTAGACCGCCATCATATAGCTGGAATATTGCTTGCTGAGTGGGGCGATTAACTACAAAAAAACCAAACAAGTTTAAATGAAAGAAATATCACAAACATATGCGAGCAGATAAAAAGATTCTCAAACTAGGCGAATCAATCGCTTGCCCCATTAGAACTAAGGTGACAATAGAAGGATTAATCTTGCCAATAGGCAATGCTGGTCCTGTTTCACCTTGCTCTCATCCGATCGTAATCCCAGTGTTTTAAGTATTCTACTGAGCGTTAAAAGGGTTACCCATACATTAAATACCCTCCAGCATTTTAACGAATCACCGCCATATGGATTCTGTCCTGTGTGTGGACTTCGGCGAATGAGTGTGTTCACGTCTACCAAGCTTTTAGCAATATTCAACATCATGGCGAGTTCTAAATACTAGAATGTCGTTGCCCGCGTGACTTGAGTCTGCCCTCAGAGGGGCACGGTTTTCCCAGCCGTCTAGATTCGCTGTGCAGCATTGCGTCCCTTGGGCACGCCAGACACCTGTTTGTAGATTCAAATCCCGGTTTGCTCTGATGATTTTTCTACGTTTGTCTGCACCATACAGGTGCACGTGGGTTTCACGAATGTGGTAAACAACTGAGACCTGCATCACTTCGGGCTTTCCTCCCACATCGAGCGGACACATCGTGATATGGAATACTGTTCAAAGCGACATTAAGCCCAACTTACTCACTCACTACTCTGTGACCAACAAACCAATCCTTTCTTCAGTCCCAGGGCGCCATTGCATCCCCGAACCCCTATAATTAGCCTGCTGAGGGCGACGTTACTGTCTAGACATTCTCCGTACACGCGTTGAAAACGCATGGTACACGCATGCTCCCCGCGTTGAGCACCCGTTGAACACGCGTGACCAACGGGTGTGCCATGCGTGTAACCCGGAACCGGGTTTTAGCTGAATTTGACGAACAGAACAAAAAGTTGCTTTCCTATCCGAAAGAAGGATGGTCATAAAAGCGTTGCAGAATGCCCTGAAATGCGTTTGATTCTTATCCACCATCACGGAAATATGTTTTTTACTTTCAGACAAGCTGAAAGCTCATCCCCTGTATTTGACAAAGGTTATTTGCCCTTTGCGCCATTGCTACAAGTTTACGGTTCGGCTGCAGGAAACTTTGTACGCCCACCGGTCAACCCTCCCCCCCCCCCCCCCCCCCCCCCCCCATCGCTGAGGTGCAACTTTCAGCGCAGTGCTTGCACACTCGCAGAACATAAGAGAGATGCTTTTTTGTTGTAATTTCTCTGATGGAATGGCCATGCAAAAATTACGTAATTGTATCAATTACATGCAATTTTCTTTTTCTCAATACACATGGGTAAGGTTTCTTTTTGAAGCTCTTAAAGCTTTGGGCCATGCGTGCTCTGATTCAAAGCTCACGAAACACTGAATTGGCTTAAATTAATTGCTCTGCTACACCGACAGACGTCCTGACATAACATTCTTACAACCACGAAGCTGGACACTTTATATGGATGAAGAGCAGTTACGTGATGTCTGCAGAATATTTTCTGATTAAAGTTATAGGCAGGACAGACCACAACAATGAATGAGCAGCTCTAAAAACGACGGAAGTTTCTTTGGTGCATCTTAAATGGAAACAAATGATACACAAGGTTGCTGATTGTATAACATAGTCAAAGTGCAGTCAGATACGTTTTTCTTCTTGAAAGACTTGGCAGAAATCCTTCTTCATCAAAAACAGTACGTCGACTTTACATACTTGACAGAGATACTTCTTCATCTTGGCAACATTGTGTATTTTTCGGGGGTATGTACTTTTTGTCACAAAAAATGTAATCGTGTTATTTCAGAAATGCTTCTTTATATTGTCAGAGATACTTCTTTATATTGTCAGATTCGCTGTGCACGCCAGAAACTTATGATTGTGTGTTCGAATCCCCGTTCGCCCCAATTACGTTTCTAAGGTTTGGTAGCACCAAACCCGTAGTGGTAACCGTCTCAGACCTGCATCATTTAGTTCTTCCTTCCAAATTACATTGTAATCTGACACGCCGTGATATAACTGGAATACTGTTCAAAGCGTGGTTAAACTCACCCACTCACTCACTCACTCACTCACTCACCCACTCACTCACCAACTCACTCACTCACTCACTCACTCACAATATATTGTCAATAAAAGAGCCAAAAACCCTTCCCATAATCATAAGAAATCTCTGAAAAAATCTGTGTCGATTGTCCAATTCAGGCTTATCATGAGCATTTATTTATAAATAGTGATGATACCAGGTGTTCGCGAAGAGTCGAGCGTTGTATCCTGCCCCACTCTATTTCAGAAATACTTCAACTTTGTCAGAAGCACTCCCTTATATTGTCCTCTTTATAAATGATATTATCTTAACAACTTCGTCAGAAACAAATTCCCACATTGTCAATCCTTCAGCAATATTTCTTTATTTTGTCAGAAATATGTCTTCACCTTGTCAGACGTCAGAAATACTGACTAATCGTGTCAGTCTTTGGAAAATACATTTATCCATATCAAGCATGTTTGTCTTGCATTAAGCATGTTTGTCTTGCATTAAGCATGTTTGTCGTACATTAACCCGATCCATATCTCTCAAGAACGCCTGATGCAGTAGTTGAGTTTCCTTCAAATCTGGACCTGTTGCTTCATTTGATTTGACACACAAAGAACCAAGAACATGTTCTGCGATATACTATGACAAAGGTTAACCGGATCAGTCTTTCATGGATATTTTCTTTTTGCACAACCCACCACCTCTCCCGGTAGTGTTGGAGTAATGTGCTTGTCTGTTGAACGATCAACAACGTGCAGGTGTTCCCGAGCTACACTCCATCTTTGTAACCGACCCTCGGCAGTCGTCCGCCCGACTGATGTTTTCGTGTTTTTGGCGTCTTCTCATCCTCCTATCGAGCACAAGAGAGATCCATCAACATTTTTTATCTGCAAAAATGGAAGACCATTTCAAAATGTTTGAAAAAACTTCTTGATAATCAGAAAGGTAATAAGGCCCAGAAAGAACAAGATGAATCGCGTATGAGGATACTGAGTAGCTTCAGATTTGGCGAAGACGTCAGGACTGGTAATCTAGATCTGCTGATTGATGTTCCCTAGAAATGGTTTATGAAGTGAACTGATATCTTGTGTGGGTACTCAGCTCTCTTCATCACATTAACAACGAACATTCAGGTTTTTAAAAATATAATATGACAAATTATGATGCAAAAATGATTAATGTAAGACATTATAATCAATACTCAACTTCAACGTTTGTAGATGACTCTGCAATAGTAAGAGGTTTAAATATTTAAGTTTTTAAGACTTCCCATAAGCTCAAATATCACCTTACTGAAATATGATATTTGTTTTTGATTGTTTGTTTGTTTAATCCCGCATTGAGGTGGTCAGACTCGCTGGCTTGGTTGATACGTGTCATCGCATCCCAAATACATGGATCGATGCTCATGATGTCAATCATTGGACTGTCTGGTCCAGACTCGGATCATTGACAGACCACCGTCTTATAGCTGGAATATTGCTGAGTGCGGCATTAAACAACAAACAAACAAACATCACTGTTTTTAATTGAATTAACAAAATGTGAAAGGTCGATCTCTAAAATATACCAAATTGGATCAGATTTAGTCTGTTTGTTTACAGTTACAGTCTATATCCCCCTTGATTCCAAGCACCCTTACCGGTCGATGATGCGACTTAATGGATTGGATGGCCATCCCCCGTGACTTGGTTGATAGCGTGTCATCGTTGCTCATTAAATCAATCACTGCTGTTTTGTCCAGATTCGAATATTTGCAGACCGCCGTGTGTATAAGGCTAGGCGCTAAGGTTTATTTGTTCTTTCTAAACATGTGTCTGCGGGGTAGCCTCGTGGTTAAAAAGTACGCTCGTCACGCCGAATGCCAGGGTTCCATTCCAAGGCCGTAGTTAACTTGTTTTTGACGGGGGGCAAATATTTGTACAAGTATCACTTGTCTCCAGCTTGTATTTTCATGATTCAAATAAAGCTGTTTTCTATAAAAGATCCAGAGTTGCCCCCCCCCCCCCCCCCCCCCCCGGGGGTGGCACTGCATTCCCCACATGGGTACAGCGTGTGAGGGCCATTTCCGGTATCCGCGCCATGATATAGCTGGGATATTGCTAAAAGCGGCGTAAAACCATACTCACGCACTCTTTTCATTTATCAAGTTATGCTACTGTCCATGTTTACCTTGTCTCGCCATAATGCCTGTACACATTATCAGCTTGTTTCGACTTTCTATCACTGTGTCTGTGCATGTTTCCATAATCAGAGGGCAGGGTCGGCCTCAATCCCTGTGTCTCTACCCGGGTCTCCGTAATCCCATAACACGAACACTTACTGAGCGCTGGAGGCGGCTACAGCCGCCATCACTAGCATTAATATCTTGATCGGTTACAGCTGTGTTTAATTGGATTCTTCAAGCGAGCTCCGCTAGTCCTTGGAGTCTGACAGATCTCCGGTGTAAACACGGGTTTTTATTTGATTAAAAACTCTGTTGATTTATTGGATCGTTTCAAAACTAATTTAGTGGCAAACCAGATTGTCAACTTCAGAAGTGATATGTATTGTGACGGATGGCGGCGTGATGAGTTGATAGAAATATGAGTGTGCATATTTATAATGCGCAAAAATCCACTTCCAAAAGCGCGCCCAAAGCCATACATTATTGCCCCGGTCAATAATACCCTGTGCACTCGATTTTCTTTCTCAGCTTCTTGGGGATTATACAAGGTAAGCTGCCTGTGAGGCATCTCATCCTACCGGATACCCATTCACTGCTGGGTGACAAGAGGCACATTTCGAGCTAAGTCACGAAGACAGCACATGCTTCAGTTGGGGGGCGGGGGCACGGGTGGCCCAGTCGTCTAAGGCGCCGCGATTCGCTGTGCAGAGTTGCGTCCCTTGTGCCACCAGAAACCTATGATTGTGGATTCGAATCTCGTTTCGCCCCGATTATGTTTCTAGCTTTGTCAGCACCATGCCCGTGCTCGTAGGTTTCATCGAAGTGGTAAACGTCTGAGACATGCATCACTTCGGGCTTTCCTCCCACATTAAGCTGACACGCCGTGATATAACTGGAATACTGTTAAAAGCGGCGTTAAACCCAATTCACTCACTCACTTAGTTGGGGGCAGGTTCGAAGCCCTGGAAACTCTCAGGAGTCAGTTTGCCGACCATCTATGGGTTGTCAGCCTCAGTGTTGATAGTTTCCGACTGTAGGTTGGGAGGCAGTGTCAGCAGACTAGGTGAAGACGTGGAGCTTCACTAGAATCACCACGAGTGGGGACTTCTGGTTAGAATTGGTCCCACGCTACACATGCGCTGGTCGTTACAGGCGACTTGGTGGATCGGGAGGTTAGGCTCGATGACTGGGCTGGTTCATGGCGTGTCATCCTACCCCGACAGCGTGGCTCGTTGCTCACAATATCAGTCACTGGTTTGTCTGGTCCAGGATGGATTATTTACAGGCCGCCGTCATATAGCAGGAATATTGCCGAATGTGGCGTTTAACCACCCACTCCCACAAATGAAAATACGTGACATATTTACGTTGTTAAAATAGTCACATGCAGTCCCGCAGAATGAACATATTCTTTAGACAATAGCAAATGAATCACCATTAACCCGAACTTTGGTTTCAATTTTTTAAATCATATATGTGTCCTCTGTTTGTGTACTATTAGTATATCACATTAGAGTTATCTCCCCTTTGAAGCAAAACTGTTTGGAGCTCCAAGCATCGTCTTAAAAAAAAAGATCAAGTTCTCAACATCCCTTTGTTCTTCTATTGTATCGTTTTTGCTGATACCAGGAGCTGAGTATTTCTTTTCTTGCGAACATTCTTGATCACCGAAGATACTTAGTAGAAAGTTCGCATGTTGTCAATTTTAACGCGATCCTGTTCCCATGACAACATCACGTCTGCCACACATAGTATTGGATCATATGTGAAGACTCGCGAGCAGGTTTGGGGAAAACAGTGGAAGGGCAGAATTGCTTCTGAAGTGTGTACGTCTTGTCGAGCTCGTCTCGTGTGGCAAAAAATATATTCATATCACTCATTATATGTAACCAGCTGTAATCAAGCCTTAAGGTATGAAATTGTTGAGGTGAGGTGAAATGGGGTTTAAGGTCGCGTCCAAGATTATTGCACTTATATAGCGACGTGCATGCACGTGTATGTGTGTATGGCTACCTGTACTAGTCCGGACTGATGGCGATTTATAGTGCTAGCACACTGAGATACCATGCCGCAGTTTAACATGAATACCCCGCTCAGACACAGTTTACTGACTCCGAGCCGACCAGTCCTTGTTTTAGCCCCTTAATGCCGAGCGCCAGACAGGGTAACAACAAGTACCATCTTTTAACGTCTTTTGGTATGACGCGGGTGGGGATCGAACCCCGGACTTTCCGCTCTCCGGGCGGACGCTCTACCATTAGACCACGAAGGCGGTCTGTGAAATTGTTGAAGGAAACTCTTGCGTCACTGACAGATTTACATTGGAACAGTGGGTTTTATCTCCCTTTAATGAGCGTACAGCCTCTGTATTATGACTAGGCTATCAATATGTCCATATTAACCTAATTATTAATAAAGAGGTGGGGTGAGTGAAAGAGTTTAAATTTAAAGTCGCATCGGCATTATTTCGGCCATATAGCGACAGAGGTGGGGTGAAATGGGATTTAAGGTCGGGTTCAAGGTTGTTATTTTTTTTATCAGGAACGTGTATTGTAACGTGTGTGTGTGTGTTATGTGTGTGACCGCGGAGGCGGTCTTATTAATAAAACTCCGAGGGGACCTGGGCTAGAATGTATCCCCAGCACCCTATTGCCCAAATTGGGCAACCTGTTTGCCGTGGGTTGCAATCTTATTAAAATCAGATCTTAGTTCTCGCTATCGCTAAACAAAGATCTGAGGACATCCCATTAAGGGGCACGTCAGAACGACCTTTCATCCAACCAATCAGAGCGTCGTTTACCAGATCATGAAAGTGACAGTCGGAATTTGTTTTCTAATCATGCAACCACGAAATGACGGGGTATTCCGAACGACAGTTACGGGTTTTAATCGAGAATACGTCAAGATATGTTTCCAAGCGTAGTCGCCAGTTTGAAACTAGTGTCGTAAAGCTCGAGAAAGCTGCCTTCTGATTGGCTAATGTCGATTTCTTGTCAGTCATTTCATTGGTCGGTCAAAATCCGCGAAAGGTCGTTCTGACGTGACCCGTAATGGGATGTCCTGAGATCTCTGTTTAGCGGTAGGGAGAAATAAGATCTGATTTTAATGAGATTGCCGTGGGTTGCGTCCCTGTGTCGGGAGAGGAAGGGAGTCAATAGTGTTCCTTAGTCCAACACACCACTTCGACCCTAACTATGTCCAGACGGGTGGTAGAAAGGGACAGATTCTGTCATTCGGCTGGTCATGTTAAGCCCTGTGCAAACACTATTTCGCCCAAACATTTTGCATTAGAAAATAAATTAACTCTAAATGTATATTATATATGTATCAAATTATGAACTTGCTTGGTATCTGTGGAGAGGTTACAAATGTCACAAAACTCAGATCTGTCTCTCTCCTTGTAGAATGTGCACGGAGACAGAAATCTGTCAATCTGCTCAAATTAAAAGAGTTTGACAATGTCAAGGTTGCTGTCTCAGTGCACAAGACACTGAATTCATATAGGGTCATTGTCCGTGACAGAGCGCGCTACCTGTCTGTCGTGACAGAAGATGAAATTGCCAAGGAACTTGAAGAACAGTCCGTCACAGCTGTCAAACGATTTACCGTAAAGAAGGATGGTGTGGTCGGACCAACAAACACCCATCACTTCACATTTGCCTGAACATCTATCCCTCAATCTATCATGTATTCAGATTCATTATCTTGCCTTTAGGCACGTCATTTCAGTTTATAATCCTGGACATTTTAGAACTATGTAATGATCTTTCTACTGGCCAATGTGACATCATCTTTTGCTGGTTGCCAAGTCATGTAGGCACAACAGGTAACTCAAAAGCCAATGCTGCAGCTAAAGCAACTTTTGAAAAACCGTTATTTCCACTCCCGATCCCGTACAGTGGTTTCAAACCAGCAACCGAGCTATACACGGCACACCCAGGTAGAATCAATAAACTTAACGAATTTAAACCAACAATCGGTCATACCTACTTGGGCTGTCAGTCAAGACATGAGGTCGTTTTGCGAGGATGTTGTATTGGCCACAGTCGGTTTATCCAGGTCGTGTATTCCTTGTGATGAAGGGTTCACCGCATACTTTGCTTAACTGCGTTGACTTTGCAATCACAAGGCATTCAAATTACTAAACAGTAAATCTGAAAGATGTTTTGGCCCGTGTAATCTCATTCTTAGCTTATTGAAGGACATTGGTCTGCATCATAAATTTTAAATATGCATTTGAATAACAAATGTCTTGTTTTTAAATTCGGCGTGATGTTTTTTATCAACAAAGATGACTGAAGACTACCCGGGAGGTTAAAGTACCGTAAAATTATTGTCCTGTGAGACACGTCATTCCTATCATAATCAATGTAACTGTCATCAACCAGTGTGTTTAAGCCAACTCATTGCTGATGATTTTTTTATATTGGCTAGTATTGTGCACAACCACTAGTAGCTAACGTGATGACGTAAATCCTGCTGGGTATCATGCAGGAAGTTGAAGCGCTGTAAGTCCCCATTATCCCCAGCGAGTTGGCCTAGCTTTGGTTGCCGGTGGCTTATAGCCCGTGTTTTAAACAGCTGTAAAAAATAATGTTATGATACAATATGTTTGACGAATATGCTTTAAAATATAACATTCTATTCATGACTCAACTGTATACATAATTATCAATTTGTTCCCGTCGCTATGTGGCTGAAATTATGCTGATGCGACGTTAAATTTTAACTCACTCACTCACTTATTCATATGCTGAAAAAATAAAGATATTTAAAAAAAAAATAAAAATTGCTCTTCTTCCATGTCACTTCTTTCGCGTTTTTTTAGAAATAGGTACAGCATAGCGTAAACATCGACACTTCTTTATCTTCTTTTGAGTAGTATACAAATACGGATGATAGTGTTTCCGGTGGGACCTTATGGTGAAACATGGGCACGGTATACACATGTAGGGAGGTGGTGTTCAGATAAACAAAGTAATTTATGCAAAGTAATATTCAAAAACAATTTATGAAACATATTTGAGCAGAACAATATCATGTATACAGTTTGTTTTTTAAAAAAAAAGAGACGTACTACATGCCACCAGTAACCAAAGCAAGGCCACCATGCTAGGGATCATGGGCACTAACGGTATAGCCCCGAAACCAAGTTAATATTTTCATAAGTGAGTAAAAAATGCAAACTTATATTTCAAAACAATTTCATCAAACATATATGGGCACAACGATATCATTTATACAGTTTAAAACACGGGCTATAGACTACTAGTAACAAAAGCTTGGACACCTGGCTGAAGATCATGGGGACTAACGGTACCTCTGCTTCCTGCATGAAACCCCAGCAGGGTTTACACCATCACTTTAGCCTCTGGTGGTTGTGCACAATGCTAGCCAATATTAAAAAATACTCGTCAATGAGTTGGCTAAAAAACACTTGTTGATGATAGTTGCATTGATTATGATAGGATTACGTGTCACACAGGGGGACAATAATTTTACGATACTTTAACCCCCCTGGACAGAGCCTTCGATAATGTCAGTTGATAATAGCATCACTCCAAATTTAAAAACAAGCATTTAATTATTCACATACATATTTTAAATTTATTATACAGACCAATTTCTTTCAAGTAATTTAAGATGAGATGCCCGCTGACACGGGAAAAGAGATCGGATTTACGCTTTGATAATGTGAATCCCTTGCGATTGCATAGTCCACACAGTCAAGCAATATATACTGACGGTGAACGTAATGTTACAAGAAGGCTGAATTTGGAGGTTTTTAGTTAGCGTCTTTTCTAATAGTTGAACAGGAGCAACATTCGTCACCACTCGCCCCTTTCCGTAACCTGCAAGAAGACTCGTCCCCCTATCGATGAATGTTATGTGCGAAAATACGACAAACCAATCAGAATGTGCGTATGATTTCAAGTACTTCGTCAAAGAATCCCTCGGAAATAATTTTTGATTTTTCATATGTCTTGCATCTAAACTTATACCCAAGACACAGTTAAATGTGTTCAATCATACTGTATAATTCCGCACCTCGCGATGTGCTTTAAATTGCATCTGAAATATATATAATATATGGGGAAATATATGTGAACCATTACGCAATGAATTGACAATTGTTTTAGCTATGCCCGTTTGCGCTAAGACGGAACCCGGTCGCAAAAATGGCTACGAGATGGGCACGAGTCGCTATTCGGCTTGTCCCGGAATAACACGAGTTGGTCACGAATGCAGGAGCAAGTCTTTGGGCCAAGCGGATGTTTTTTACGAGATGCATAAAGGACAGTGGTTGGTTGATTGGTTTGATGTTAACGCCGCACTCAGCAATATTCCAGCTGTATGACGGCGATCTGTAAATAATCGAGTCTGGACCAGACCAACAGTGATTGACATCATGAGCATCGATCTACGCATTTGGGATCGATGACATGCTTCAACCAAGTCAGTGAGCCTGACCACCCAATCCCGTTAATCGCCTCTTACGACAAGCATAGTCGCCCTTTCACGGCAAGCATGGGTTGCTGAAGACCTATTCTGGCCCGGATCTTCATGGATCTTAAGATAAGTACCAGAACAATTGTATCAGTCCTTTTAATTAAAAACAACATTCAGAAAAGGCAATTTTCAACAAATGTCATATGAGTTGGAGAACAGCATTTTAAGCTTTTGCTGGTTTGGATGAACACAAATATACACTCTCTTATACACGCACAGAATGGACATTGGGGTCAAAAGTGATATTCTGATTCAACTATTAATACTATTCTAAATGGACAATATCTTAAATTTCTGTTAATATTATACTGTCGACTCATTTCTATCATTAAAGCATGACTAGAGCATCTAAATTTAGCAAAGTCTTAAGATAAATCGTATTGTGCATCCCCCAAAAATCTATTTTAAGATGTGTATAAAAATTCTATTTTAACATGAGTATGATGGTCTAACTTTGGAGAAACTGCGATGTTGTCGTTCCATATATGTACATCAATATCTATCATTGCGTGGATCGATGCTCATGATGTCAATTACTGGATTGTCTGGTCCAGACTCAGTTATTTACAGACCGGCGTTAAACAACAAACAAACAAACAAACAAAAATCAATCTCGAAACCTCCCCTCTCGCAACTTTATTTGTTGTCCGGATTACAGCACACATTAACGTGACTCGATGCATAGAGGTTGAGTTCTTGGCTCTCTAAACGTTTAGTTTACTACTCAAAGGAAGAACACTCGATATTAACGTGACTCGATGCATAGAGGTTGGGTTCTTGGCTCTCTAAACGTTTAGTTTACTACTCAAAGGAAGAACACTCGATATTAACGTGACTCGATGCATAGAGGTTGGGTTCTTGGCTCTCTAAACGTTTAGTTAACTACTCAAAGGAAGAACACTCGATATTAACGTGACTCGATGCATAGAGGTTGGGTTCTTGGCTCTCTAAACGTTTAGTTTACTACTCAAAGGAAGAACACTCGATATTAACGTGACTCGATGCATTGAGGTTGGGTTCTTGGCTCTCTAAACGTTTAGTTTACTACTCAAAGGAAGAACACTCGATATTAACGTGACTCGATGCATAGAGGTTGGGTTCTTGGCTCTCTAAACGTTTAGTTTACTACTCAAAGGAAGAACACTCGATATTTTTTAGTTGTTTACAGTTAATCTGCCATGCATTAGCAGACTGACTGTAGCCACTCTTTTGAGTAGTAAATAAAACGTTTCGTTTTTTACCTCGAAAGGTGTTTGCTGAGTACTTCGTACATATTGTCCAGTCGTTATAGTCCTATTAACCAGGCCTCACAATAAGTTCCAGGCACGGAATATTGAATATAATATATATTCTATAAGTGTGGTGACTTTGTGGAAAGTTTACCATAAATAAACTGTTTGAATTGTTTGTTCAAAAATAACCGTTACTTCATTTCATGGGTCGTGTCACCGAAAACAGGGAAGTCATACATCTATCGTTGTCATTTCTCCCATGAAAGGAATACTTGACGCGGTCAAATTGGCATCTTTTGTTCAAGTCGATCAAATACCGCTTTCATTTGCCAATTTAATTTGTTAATGCTTGTCAGCTGAACACATTTTCCCAGTCAATGCCTCAGTTTCCCATGAGGCCTCTCAGTGTCTCAGTGTCTAAGGCACCGCGGTTCGCTGTGCAGTGTCGCGTCCCCTGGGCACGGCAGAAACCTATGATTGTTGGTTCGAATCCCGGTTCGCCCCGATTATATTTCTAGGTTTGTCAGCAAAATACCCGTAGTCGTGGGTTTCACTGATGTGGTAAACGTCTGAGACCTGCACCACTTCGGTCTTTCCTCCCACATTAAGCTGACACGCCGCGATATGACTGATATACTGTTAAAAGCGGCGTTAAAACCCAACTCACTCACCCACTCACGTTAACGTCATCCTGGACTGCCCATGTCAACCCGGGGTAAGCAGGTCATGGAAAGGGGGTAATTAGGGACCGTCTATTTTGCATGTTTAGTTTGTTTCCACACAAAAATATACACTCAATCACATTCCGCAAATTCACCCGCCATACGTTTTGGAGTTAACCAGAAGCATTAGTGCAGTAAATGGGGTTTTACAAAATTGTGAACTGTTTATCCCTATTATGGTCGCTACAGACGTCTCGGCG